ACTTAGAACACCATTCCTGACTGAGACAGCATCTCCCCTTGTCTTTCTGGGTGTCTCCTGTCTGCCCTCAGCGGCCTGTCTTATCTACTAGGGAGGACGTTTGAACCCTAACTCATCCTCCTACTTGGAACTCTGGGATAGGTCTGTCATGCCACCCACCACTACTCTTTCTGGCAGACTTCTCCCCTCCCCCCCCCCCCCCAATCTGGGTTCACCATGGCTTCTGTGTCCCTTCAGCCAATAATGTGGCCGGAGTCGAGGGAGAACCGGAGGCCTGTATGTGAGTGAGTGCTGGACCAGTTTGGTAGGGTAGCGGTGGATGTGCTCTCAGGGCTGGGGCCTGACTGGCACAGGCAGCCAGAGCCGCTGAATGTAAGGCAGAGCTCATGCAGCCGTGGTTTCCACCGCTTACAGCCCACCGTTTATGCTCTGTGTCGAGGCTGTTTGGCCCCCTCTCTTTTGCAACTCCCATTATTTATATTGTGCCTGGCCCAATAAGGGGGGCATTTGCTAAGCGGTGCTGTGGTGTGCATTCCCGCTAGGCTGATTATGGGGAAGGACAGTCTCTGACCTCTAGGAGGATCAGATGCTTAATACACGATTAAATGATTCATGCAGCAACTGCCTCTGAGCTCAGAGCCTAGCCCGGGTGCTCAGTGCCAGCTACAAGGATGGCTTCCTGGGAGGGGGGGACTTGAACTAGATTTGGGTGCAAGGGCAGGTGATGGGGGGGGAGGCTTCTAGGTCACATTTAGAAACTTGAACATTTTCCCAGACGTTAACGAGCTGGGAGCGTTTTTTGAGGCTGGAGTATGCACTTTATAGGTTAAACAGATGTCACCGTCCCTTAGAAGGCGGTAGGCGCTTGGACTCCACAGAACAGAGATGGTATCACTGAGCCCAGATTAGGGGTCTCGTATCCAGGGTGAGGTCTGTTACCAGTAGACCAGGCTATCACCTAACCACATCCTCCGCCGAGGTCACAGCCTTCTAGTGTGAAGTAGCGTGGTGGCAGTGACCGGGGCTGCAGTGTTGGAGATGTAGAAGAAAGGTCACATCTGAGAAAAAATGTGTAAAGACAGCTTCGGTGGCTCTGAAACAAACACGTTCTTGAGCCGAGTGTCAGTGTTTATCATGAAATTTGGCTCCCACTGGTGAGAAACGATGGCAAAACCAACTGGGGGGGGGGCGCATAACAAGTTGTGTTTTGTTTTGTTTTATTTTTTATTATTTTTTTAAGAGCAGGGGAGCAAGGGCAGGCTGACTTCTGGAGAATCTGGTGCCTCCCTGCTGCCAGCAGGATGTGAGTGCCAGTCTCCTCCTGGGTGTGACCTCTGGGGGAATGGAGATTGCCTCCTGCCTGGGTCTGGAAGTCCCTGTGTAATAATTCTGGTCGCAGGGCTACCGAGAGCAACCAACTGCTTCGGGATGTTTTAAAAAAAAAACGGCTGGTGGAACTGGGAGGGCATCTAAGCCCGAAGTACAAATTTCCAGTTTAATTTTAACTTGTAGCTCGTGCACACTCGGGACTTGGCAAGGGAAGTGGGCCTTTATTTTATTTATTTAGTTATTTATTTACTTTTTTTAAAGCGCAGCACACCCTGAATACAAAAGGGATTTTCTCCCCACATGGAAGGGCTAGAGAAGAGGCTGCTGAGTATGGAGGAAGTGGGTTGGAAATGATAGCAGCTGCAGGGTTGGGTCCCCTCGCTCGCAGGCCTTAGAGAGAGCAGGGGACAGCTAGGTGATTCACACAGGGGACTGTGGCTGCACTGTCTTTTGTCCCATTTGACCCACTTCTCAGGCAGCTCACCCGCCTATCTCACTGTGAGCCTGTGTGGCCTGGGCTTCTGCAGAATACTGAAACCCTAGGGTCTATAGCCTAGCCCCCCATCTTACCTCCTGAACTGTGCAGGGCACCCCTCCCTCCCTGTCGGAAAGGGGGTGCCTCGGACCGGCTACCTGAGAGTTTCCCAGATGGAGTGGAAGCAGCCCTACTCCTTGGGGACCCCACACCCCACCAGGGGGAAGCAGTGGGGAGGCGTACTCAGCCATCTGAGCCATGGCCAGGTTGAGCTCCGCACCTTGGGAGCTGAGGGGGGTAAAAGTGGTGCCCACCCAGCTGGTGAGACAGGAAAGGGCTGAAGGGAAGCCATTAGCCATGGGAGCCTGTGGAGTGTATCTGGGCAGCCATGTGCCCTAAACCTCGGCACGTCAGAGATGCTTCAGGGGAGCACTACACTGAGCTGTCAACACTGGCCCTGTTGGTTCGACAGACACCTGCTGTGACCGTCCTGAATTTCAGGAGAAGGGTTTCTTTTTCTTTTTTTCTGTTTTGAGAGGCATCTCGTGCAGATCAGGCTGGCCTCAGACTTGACTGTGTAGCTGATCATGACTTTGAATGCACCTGGTTTGTGGGGTGCTGGGGATCAAATCCAAGGTTTCACACATGCTAGGCAGGCGCTACCAACTGAGCCACACCACCAACCCAAGACAGGTGTTCTTGGTGTGGCTGTTAGTAGAGAGAATCCCCCCTCCAGGGCGTAACTGGAATGTTGAAATGAAATTGTGTGAAATGCTTAAAATATGTCTGTTGTGGGGAGGGTGGAATTGGCTTTTTTTTTTTTTTTTTTTATTAAAACAGTAGCTGTGATGACTTGCATAGTGTCCCTGAAAGGAGGGGCCCCCAGTTTGGGTGTGGTGCTGGGAGGTGGGGACTGGCCTGGTTGTCTGTCTGTAGAAGTGCTGGGCAGCCTGCCCTGACATCAGGAGTCGGGGAGGCACTGTGCTCCCCAGAATAGAGACAGCTTCCTGAGGAATTCCCTTGACTGTCCGGCATCACCTCTCCATCCCAGGCCATCTTAGGCTTGGCTAATGGCATGAAGAAGAGAGGCCTTTGGCTGCTCTAGGCAAACCACGTCACGTCTGCAATCTTTGCTGGGATCTGCCTCTGGAAGGAGGGATTCCCAGAAAAATCAGTTAAGGAAGAAGACTGGGCCTCCGGATCCAGCATTTATTACTTGTGTTCCTCTGCCCGCAGCCACTCTCCCCCCATCTGTTTGCTCCCGGCAGCCTGGCTTCCTCTCTCTGCAGTTTTCTTACCTTAGAGTGGAGGACCACCTGGCTTTACCCTTAGGTACTCTAACCAGTGAGTGGCCTGACCTGGACGGATGGCCTTTTGGACTTCCTCGGCTCTCAGATCCATCAAGAAGATGGAGCCTGGCCAGGGCTCCGAAGCTTCAGAGAGGAAGGTGGCATTCCTGGCTTTCTTTCCCTTCAGATGGAACTCTGAATCCCTGCTATGCTGTCCTGCATGGAACACTCCGCTGTGCCTTCATCCACAGGGAAGAAGGAAGGCAGGGCTCTTCAGGGCCCACGACCCATTGTGCCTGCCCCCTTGCCTTAGTCTGGAGTGGACTCTGTTCCCTGCAGAGTGCCCAAATACGAGGGCTCGTGGAAGACCAGAGCAAGCCGTTCTAGCTCTAGTAAACTCTAGGCGAGGTCGTCTTCTTACTTAGAGAGCCGCAGTCATGGACCAGGACAGGCCCGTGGGCTGTTTATCCAGGGGAAAGGAAAAGCTCAGAGGACAGTGCCCCCGTGGGCCGTGTGGGCCTGTGGGGAAGTCCCAAGTTGGAGGGTACAGTATACCGAGTATTTTTGATGCTTCCCCGAGGCCACTGGGTAGAAGCTGGCTCTGAGGCAGTGTCCCGGTGTGCAAGGCCACGCTGAGACAAGTCAGGAGGGATCGTCTTCTCTTTTCAGATTCCTTTCAGCCAGGCCTAGTGCCACAAATCACTAGGATTACAAACTCAGGGCCTTTTTTAGGTTATATACAAGGGGAATTCAGGTTCAACTTAGGCAACTTAGAGTCTGTGTTAAAATATAAAAGGATAGGAAAAGGTTAAATAAAATAAAGGGAGAAGGTGCGCGCCTAGCATATGTGAGGGTCGAGGCTCCATCGTCAGTTCCACGCCACGGTAAAGGTTCCTTCTGTCCCCAATGTGCTGGCTTCCCCAAGCGCCTGGCTTGCCCTGGGAGACCTTGGCTACCTGCTAGCTCCTTGCGCAGTTTGTGGCTGTACCTGAGACCCACTGGCTTTCCTCTGACCTCTCACCCATTTGATGTGTTCACTGGAGCCAGCAGCTGGCCCCTTGGAACCTCCTCATCAGAATGAGGCCCAAAACAAAGGACCCCCCACCCCTTCAGACAGGGAGTGAGTGGATGAGGACCTAGGGGCTCACAAGGGCACCTCCTTTAGTTGGCCATGGAACCTTGCTGGCCCTCATGCTTCTGTGTGGGCCATCTTAAGGAGTACAGGTTTCCTCATCTCCCTCTAGTAGGCAGGGACTGAAGAACATATCCCTGAGCCATGTGGTTCAGTAAGTATGTCTTGCCTGTCTGTACACTTGATTAAATAACACCACGTATTCAGGACCACACGAGGCTCGTGGTTCTGCGCCTGGACAGCACCAAACATTTCCTTTCTGGTGGAATTTCTCTGGGACAGTGTTGTCTAGGCACGAGAACGTAGAACGGGCTTCTCGCCTATGCTGCCCCTATGGGGGGGGGGGGGAGTCGGGGGATCTGATCGCAGCGATAAAGTGCCAGGCCTCAGTGCACAGGCTCAGACTGAAGGAAGGAGTGAAAGCAAGTGTGAGTGTGTTCTGTGCAAGCCGTGAGCATTTGGCGGGGAGAGGACGGTGGGGGCTGAGCATGGGAAGTGAGCAGCCTGCCTCCAGTGGGTGATCCGGCCTAGGCAGGGATGCTAGATGCTAGATGCCACCTGCACTGCCGTTAGCACTGTGGCTGGTGCCTGTGGGGAGTGGTGACTGATTTTCATTGTATGCTGGGGTTGAAGAGCATGTGGCAGGATGTTGTTTTACACACACACACACACACACACACACACACACACACACACCAGCCTCAGTGTCTGCAAAGCCTACTGATTGTCCTCTCTGAAGTGGTTCCTTGTGCTAGAGATGCGCTTCCTTATTCAGCATCCTTCTGTCTGGGTCCTGCTGATGGCAGAAGGACCAGGCTGCTCAGCCTTTGCTCTGAGGCAGCTCTGATCCAGGTAGGCGAGCCGGAAGATGTGACCCTGGGGTGGGGGTCTGGGGGCTGCTTCTCTGACCCTTCCCCATCTCCACTCAAATCCTCCTTCCCTTTCCAGGTGAAAGAACTCGTCCTGGACAACTGTCGGTCAATTGAAGGCAAAATCAAAGGCCTCACAGATGAGTTTGAAGAACTGGAATTCTTAAGTACAATCAACGTAGGCCTCACTTCCATTGCGAACTTACCAAAGTTAAACAAACTCAAGAAGGTAAACAGCTCGTGCCTGGGAGCCAGGAGCCTGGGGGTGGGGGGTGCTCTGTGCTGGGGAGCATAATTAAGAGCAAGGCCAGGTGCGTGCTCCAACTCGCCAGCACAGCCCCTAGAGATGATTCCTCCCGGCTGTCTGGGGAGTTAGGAGGCTTGGGCCCCCAGCCTTCGTGTTAAAAGCTTCTCCCCCCCCTCTACCTCTACAGCTTGAACTAAGCGATAACAGAATCTCAGGGGACCTGGAGGTATTGGCAGAAAAATGTCCGAACCTTAAGCATCTAAATTTAAGTGGCAACAAAATAAAAGACCTCAGCACAATAGAGCCGCTGGTGAGTCCCTTGGGGTCCTCCCCTTTCCTTTGGGGCAGTGGGGCTCGGTGTGGGCAGCTTTCGTGTTTGTCTTTTGAGCTTACTTACTCCCTTATCCCCATCTCTTTGACTCTCATTCTGTACTGTGAGCTAAGGTGGGGATGACTGTTTCTGCTGAGTCCATGGAGACTTTGGGGCTTTGACCCAGGTCATCTGGCCAGAATGGGCACCCAGTGTGGGGCAGAGAATGGACCCTGGTCTGGGAGGTACCCTTCAGCCTGGGTTCACAGTCCTCACTGCCTTGCCACCCTTTGAGGAGAGGGGAGCCATCCAGATCTAACGGTGCAGGATTCCGGGAGCGTGAGGCTGTGCCGGGTGGGAGCCTGGTGCAGGCCTTCCTGTGCAGATGTGGAGGTGACCAAGACCTCTCAGACATGACGGGTGACACTTCTTGTTTTTCCTTTATTCATTTTTCCAGTTAGAAGTGAGAACCTTAGCCGGGTGGTGGTGGCGCACGCCTTTAATCCCAGCACTCGGGAGGCAGAGGCAGGCGGATCTCTGTGAGTTCGAGACCAGCCTGGTCTACAGAGCTAGTTCCAGGACAGGCTCCAAAGCCACAGAGAAACCCTGTCTCGAAAAACCAAAAAAAAAAAAAAAAAAAAAAAGTGAGAACCTTTGGCCAGAATGACAATTCTCTATGACCAAGGCCTGAGGTGCAGCATTCTTTAACTTTTTTTTCCCCAAGAAACCACCTGAAGATGTGACACAAAGAATCCTTTGGAAATAGAGAAAAGTAGCCCAGATAGCAAGCTTGCCTGTTGAATACACACAGCGCCAGGCCCTGTGGACTTGAGGAAGGCCCCGGGACACTGCAGAAGTGACTGGTCCAATAGCAATGGCCCTCCCTTTGGGTTCGTGTTTCAAGGTCCTTGTCCATAAGGCACCTCTCGGTCTCTGGACATCTCAGGTCACACTGGCCATCAGGTGGCGATGACAGCAAACTGGCATTGCTTTTTCAAGCTCGGACTTTACCTTTCTGTCCGTGTCTTGGGGTCACCTAATAAAACATACTCACCGACCACAGAAAGTTCTTTCCTGGTCTCCCACTAACCCCCCCCCAGGAGAGGGCAGAGCTATTTTCATCTGTCTGGGAGTCCTGAAGTCATCATTTTGTTATGAAAAGGAACATCTTGGAAGTTCTGAATCAGCTGTGCTGGGAATGTGTATAGGGCCGAGTCTAAACTCTTCATGAAGCAGTGTGGCAGGGTCACCCTTGGAGAGCACACATCCACACATGTTCCCACGTCCCTGCATGCAGCTTCCCACACTGGTTATTGATAAGATGTCCTCTGTCGTCCCAGGACTGGAACCTGTTTTGGGGTGGCGGGTGCTGGGCCCCCTCACAAAGACGAACTCATATGTCCTCCCCTGCCTTGGGCCCCTCCGCTAAGAATCGCCTGGGTCTACATACAAAAATGGCAGAGAATCAACTGTGACCCTGAAGGGTCTGCTCTCTGTAGTTTGACCTGGTCTCCATGGCAACAGAAACTTATTGGGGAAGGAGTCCTTGATGAACGAGGTGTGGGGGTCAGGATCCAGCTGCCTGGCTTCCTAACTGTGTGTCTCCTTATTTCCTGGGCCTCATTTTTCCCAACTAGCCAACCAGATAACAGATAACATGGGCAAAACTGGTCTGACCTGATACAAAGTATCATATTGAGTGCTCCAGACAGACTGGTCCTCCATGGCTTCTATTCCTGTCCTCATCGACAGTATGGTTAGCAGACAGAGTGCAGGCCGGGCCTCTCATTCTTCAGCTGTGCCGCACACTGATAATTAGCTCTGCCTTGCAGGGGTTGGAGGATAAATTGACCTAATGCATGGAGAGCTGTGTGCCCGCGATGATTAGATGCAAGAGCTAGTTCATGGTGTTGTTTCCATTCCCTTTGGACTTCCTGTCGCAGGGGTGGGTGCACCAAAGCTCTCAGCTCATGTACCAGACGGGTCCAGGGTTGACTTCAAGGCAGTCACAATTCGGCAAAAGCTCAATAAAGAGTTAACTTTGGGTGAGGCTGTTCAAACCCTCAAGCCCAGCTAATTTTGTTCACTGAGGTCTAGGCAAGTGCAGAGCTAAGGTGAACATGGGCGCGCGCGCGCATAGTCTCACACGCACGCACGCACGCACATGAGCATGGCTTCCTTCTCGCTGTAATTCCGGCCTGTCCATGCTGCCTCTTCCTAAGGTATTTCCCTCTCCCCACCCACTTCCCACAATTATTACCCTCACCGTCGACCCCCTTTCTCCCCCTGCAGAAGAAGTTAGAGAATCTCAAGAGCCTAGACCTGTTTAACTGTGAGGTGACCAACCTGAATGACTACCGAGAAAACGTGTTCAAGCTCCTGCCCCAGGTCACGTACCTCGATGGCTACGACAGAGACAACAAGGAGGCCCCTGACTCTGATGTTGAGGGCTACGTGGAGGATGACGACGAGGAAGATGAGGATGGTGGGTGACAGTGGGAACCCAGGGCAACAGTGGCTCAGATGACCGGCCACCTGCCTCCTCTTTCCGAAGCCCTTGAACCTCATCTCCCTAGTCCCTAACTGGTCTTTTTGGTTGTCTCCTGAAAGACATCTTGAGACGTGCTAGGTGTTAATGGTCACCCTTTCGAATCTGGTGTTTTCTCAAGTCCCCCAGGGAAGGTCACTATATGTATCTCTCCAGTGTGACACCAGACTTTGGACTTTCCTCATCTGGTAGACCAGTTTTCTGCTGGAGAGGTTGTGGCGCCCCCTGGTGGTTGCATGCAGGACCGCAGGCCAGCATTGGACTGCTCAGGAGCCCCAGACTGGGAAGTTGGGGGCTATAGGCAATTCAGACCCCTTGGGGAGGAAGGAGAGGCTAAGGGCCCCTCCTCGTAATTCCTTCTCATGGTCCTCTGCAGCTTTCCTTTATGTCTTTACAGCTTAAACAAAGCTAAGAGCCAAGATAGTGCCCAGTCAATGCAAACATAAGATTTGGTTTTTCTTGTTGGTCTGGGGTCTTTGTATGGCAAGGGCTTGTGCTACAGCCTCTGCCCTGTTCCCCCACTACACGGATCACGCGTGGCCTTGAACAAGTCATTTCTCGTCAGAGGGATGAGTTACGGTGACTTGGCCTCTCTGCTTCCCTGGGCCCAGGACTTCTTGCTCAGTCCCCAGTGTCTCTGGCCTTACCCACACATAGGCTCTTTCACACGTGTGATTTGGAGAAAGGCTCGTAGCAGGTTTTGGTGTGTGTCATCGTGTGATCACCACGTCTGTGTGGGCGAGCCGTTGGACTCTGGGCAGACATGGGCCACCCGTCACCTCAGTTTCTGTTGTGTTCTTGTTACCCATCCCCCACAGAGGAGGAATACGATGAGTATGCCCAGCTAGTGGAAGATGAGGAGGAAGAGGATGAGGAGGAAGAAGGGGAAGAAGAGGACGTGAGTGGAGAAGAGGAGGTAAGGAGACGGGTGGGCACCTGTGTAATCCCCCTGAGCCCCGCCAGGCACCTCTGTTATTGGTCGCGACAACCCAGGGAAGGAAAGGAGTCCCTTTCCACGATTTTTCCTGTATAGAATTTGAGTGCACAGACATCCAAAGTTCTGGGGAAGCTGGTTTCAGAGTAGGGACGAGTGCTGGAAGCAAGGGCCCAGCATGCTTTGGGGAGGCCAGGAACAACATTTGGGAGTCAGTTCTCTTATTTCCCAGTGTGACTTCTAGGGGTTAAACTCAGGTCGTCAGGCTTGGCAGCAAGCACCCTTCCTTTGCTGCTCCATCTTGCCAGTCCCTGCTTAACCGGTCCGAGCCCCACCCTGTGCTGGCTGTGTGTCTTTGGACAGGCTGCTTGGCGTTTCTGAGTCTCCTCGTGTCTGTGGAGTAGGAATCCCCTCACCTTTCTCACTGGGTTGAGAGTAGAGTACCATATTGACAGGAGGTGGCCGCTATGGGTCCTCCCTGTCTGCACTGCTCTCCTCCTTGTCCTGTGCTGGGTTTTGAGCTTGGATGTTCAGGGTCTCCCGGTGGCCGAATCATTTTTCATGAGTTCTTTGCCAAATCTGTTCTTGCTGCTTAAGACTGGTATACTGGGAAAGAGAGCACGTGGCTAGGTGGCTCCGGGCATGTGTGTGCGTGCATGCACGTGTACACACACACACAGTACACGCACCACAGTCCCTCATCCTCTCCTAGTTTCCTGCCTCCTTTCTTGATGGTCCACCTGCCACACACGCCACCTGAGCAGGTTTCCTGGCCTGCCCACCCCAGGCCTCAGGATGGCAGTGGAAAAGCGTGCTCCCGACTATTGTACGGTTTCTCTTCTAGGTTCGGGTTGCCAGGCCCGCCTTTAAGGGATACTTGGGACAGGGAATGTCTTTCCCTGAGGACAGGGTAGTTAGACATACTGGCTGGATTGTCGATGGTACTGTTCTTGCCTGTCATATGATCCCCGTGTGTGGATTTTGTTTTGTTTTTCTGTAATCTCGTTGACCCTCTGCCCATTTCCAGTTACCAGTGAAGAAACACTTAAATACATACACACACAGTCTTAGCAAACAGACCAGGTCGAGATCTATTCAAAAGCAAATTTACTTCAACAGTTCTTAGAAACCATGGGCAGCTGCCTGTCAGAACCTGGGGCTTCAGGTATGGAGTGGCTGCCATGGAACCATGGGCAGTACCCAGAGCCAGGGCCCTGGGTGGGGAGGATGAAGTCACAAAGCTTGACTGAGTCCAAAGCAAGTCGGAAGTGAAGTCCTAGGGGCCTTGAGTCTCCCCCCACCTCTAGCTGCCTGGACTTGACAGAGGGGAGTGGCCGGGAGAGCTGGGCTTGCCCACTTGATTCTGGCTTTACTAAAACCAGAGTCTTCCTTTGAAGCCAAAACCATATTGAGGACAGACGCAAGAAAGGACAGCCTAGTTTCAGTGACAGGCCACTGCCTAGGGAGCCCGTTCGCCTGTGCACATGCACATTGACAAGCTGCCTGAGTTCTGGGGACTTCACATTTGGAGTCCCTAATGTGGGGCAGTCCATAGCGACTCTGCAAAGCTCCAAGGTGGTTTGCCAGCATCTTACATCTCTGGGCACGTGTTGGAAGCCTTCTGCCTCATGGTTCCTTGATACACAACAGTAAGAAGCCCTGCTGTGTGTGTGTTTGCCCTGAGCTACCAGGCATTGTTGTGAGCTCTGAGATAGGAGATAAGGCCTTTCTGGGCAGGGGCATTTACCCGCCCCCCCTCTTTTTTCTTTAAAAAAAAAAAAACAGCTCATGTACGTACGTGTTCAGTCAGGTATGGTGTATGTAAGTGTGTGTGTGTGCGCACAGTGTGGAGGCCAGGTGTCTTTCTTAACTACTCTCCACCTTATTTTGAGCCAGGGTCTCTCACTGAACCTGGTGCTCATTGATTTGGCTAGACTGTCTGCCAGTGAACCGCAGGGGTCCAAGGTGGGGATGAATGCACAGATGTGCTGCTGAGAGCCCAGCTTTTACGTAGGTGCTGGGATTGAACGTGGTCCTCAGACTTGCTCCCACTGAGCCCCCCTTAACCCAGTGGGGGCACGGCTGATATCCTGCTTCTGTCTTTGCCCCTAGGAGGATGAAGAAGGCTACAATGATGGGGAAGTGGATGATGAGGAAGATGAAGAAGATGCTGGTGGTATGTCAGCCTGTTTTGCTATCTGACCCTAGCACTGATTTGCTTTAAGGCTTTAAGGACCTGGCGATAGGAGGGGGTGCACATTCAATGGTCCGGACACTTTCATGCCTTGTTTCATAGATGGTCCTGCTTCCTAGATGTGCAGCTCCTGGGTTCCCAGTCGGGGCAGGGCTGACTGAAAGATGGCTGCCTGGTAACCCTCTCTTTTCCTTGCTTTTCCAGAAGAAGAAAGGAGTCAGAAGCGAAAACGAGAACCCGAAGATGAGGGCGAAGAGGATGACTAAGGGGAATGAACCTATTTGGGGAGATTCCTGTTGTGATTTGACTGTTTTTACCCATATCCCCTCCCCCTCCTATTCCTGCCCCCCCGAAACTTATTTTTTTCTGATTGTAGCGTTGCTGTGGGAATGAGAGGGGAAAAGTGTACTGGGGGTTGCCGGGGGTGGGGTGGGGGGTGGGGGAGGAATAAAGTACTATTTTTACTGCCACTCTTCATTCCCCCCTCCTTTTTCCATGTGTCTGGTTTTGTCCCCGTAAATGCAATAGCTTAGTACGCACCAAGCAAGTGTTCGTTCTTACTCTCTGGAGAAGGTGGCTTTGAGGTCTCTTAACATTTTTTGGTATGTTCCACATCCCCAGAGTTGTTGGGAGGCTGTGGCTGGCCTCCACCAGGTGACTCACGGCCCCTGTCTTCAGTAACTCTGATCTGGTTCATGCGGTCTCTGCTGGAGGCACCCAGCACCCGGGTTTGTAAATAGCTACCTAAAGGCGTATTTTGGCACTGGTTTGGGGACATTCCCCCTCTCTCACCCCTTTTCCCCCTTCGCAGATGGCAGTGGGCTTTGCTTTTGCAAAGAGAACTTGTGTTACTCTGAAGCCATGATCCCGTGAGCCAAAAAAAAAAAGGCAGGCTTAGGAGATACGAGCAAAATGGGCTTGGTAATCATGAAAATCGGCGAACCTTCATATTTCAACTTCTTTTAAAAAAAAAAAAATAACCTGTCCTATCTTGTTCTGTAAAATATTAGAGCAGTTTGTTTTGCAGAAATAACAGAAGGACTCGATTCAGGAGCTCCAGCTTAGAACCTTTTTACAAATCTAAGCTCTGGGGGCCCACTGCATGTCCACTGGGGTTTTGTTTTGTTTTGTTTTCCTTCTTGCATACATTGGAGCACGGAAAAGGAATGCAAAATTGTATTTTCTTACCTAGTGGGACTCTGAAGTGACCGCAGGTTCCTCCTAGCGAATGCTGTTTGCTTTCACCGTCACCTTCTGGATTGCTTTAGAAGTGACAACGCGCTGTTCCTGCTCTGTCTCTCTGTACAAAGAACATCTGCAACCCATTTTTCTCCCACCCTTGAGAAGAGCCAAACTTTGAGTTTTATGTCTGTTTGTCATTGATAAATTTCAATAAATCTTTTTTATACAATTTTTTGGGGGATGGCTTCTTTTGAGTCCTTACAAGCCACTGATCGTCCTGTCCTAGAGCAACCGCTGGCCCAGGAGGGAAGTCTTGTTAATGCCATCTGCTAAAACAGCTTTTCTTACGGAGTATGTAACCTTACAGCATGGTTGGAGACTTTTTGTTTGCAAAGCAAGGCTGGGTGGGATGTGTACTCCTTGAAGGCTGCGTTAAAAAAAAAGAAAGAAAAAAGGAGGGAAAAAGGGGATGCAAGACCTACTTATAATAAAAACATAAAACACCCAAAAGGCAGACCAACAATAGCATTTGTTTTTTAATATCTTCGAATATCTTTCATGTTTTTTTCATATTGTAAAAGAATGTATGCTTTGAAAACTCAGGAACGTATAAAACATTATTTAACAAACCCTAGAGTTACAGCTGGTGTTTATTGTGTTACTTTTTTGCTTATGATCTGGGCCTCTCTGTTCTTGTAGTTTTCCCAAGCAGGCAGGTGGCTCCCTGCGAATCCCGTGGCTGGGTTCTGATTGACTTAGTGTAGCCATAGATGTAGCTCTTCGGGTTATTTCTAGTTTCCCCTGCAGCAGACACTCTGAGGACTACTTACACTTAAAATTTTAAAAATCTGTTTACATTTCATGCAAGCATATGGGGTGTGTGTGTGAAAATGTAAGGATGGATGTCAGGACAACTGTGGCTTTGGAGCCTGTCCTGGAACTAGCTCTTGTAGACCAGGCTGGTCTCGAACTCACAGAGATACGCCTGCCTCTGCCTCCCGAGTGCTGGGATTAAAGGCGTGTGCCACCACCGCCCGGCTCAGGACAACTTTTGAAAATCAGTTTTCTCCATGGTATGTGCATCTCATATTGAACTCGGAGCATCGGACCAGGGCAAAGTCTTATTTGATGGGCTGCCTCTGTCTTACATCTTACCAACCCAAGTAACACACACACACACACACACACACATATAAATCATGGTTTCATTAATATCCCTGACTGGGCTGGAACTCACAAAGAGATGTGTCTGCCTCTGCCCATCACATATTCTTCATAGTAGACTTAGTAGACAGGAGAGATGGTCATTAGTCTGAGACTCCCCTAGTATTTTTGTAAAGGTCATGTATGAATAGCGACAGCAACCTGTGGGTGCATAGGTGGTATGCACACCTGCGTAACAGTACAGCTTTGCATCCCATAGCAAGCCCTCACCATCTTTCAGACATGGTTGGATTCCAGTGACTTAAATGCTTCTGAGATGTCCTGGGGCTCACCTCACCCTGATACCTGCTCTTTTAGGCTGGCTACCCTGGCTCTGCCGGGAAGTAAGGTCAGACCATCCTATAGGCTAAGCTCTGTGGTCATGGGGCGGGGACAGGCAGGCAAGCGTGCCCTGTGTCTTCCAGAAGGTATGAACGCGGAAATGATGCATCAGGATGCTGCTGCTGACTCCCTCTGTGGTGGCGTTAATTGGCATTGTGGGTAGTGAAGAACAAGCTCCACAGACAGCCTCTAGGGGACACCCTTGCTGTGTCAAGTCCTGTATTTCCATCAGCCTTAAAGATTGCTGTGCCATTTTAAATATGAAGGTACTGGGGGGATGGCTCAGTAAACTAAGCATGGAGACCTGAGTGTCAGCCTCAGCATCCATTGTAGAAAGCTGGATGTGGTGGCATGTGCTTGTAATCCAGCACTGGGAGGCAGACAGGCAGAACCCTGGGGTCACTGGCCAACCCCAGATCCTGCTGAGAGACCCTACGTCAAGGATCAAAGTGAACAGCTAGGAGCCAACCACTGACCTTGACCTCTACATGTTTGCACACATGAGTACATGCTTGGTCTTCCTAGAACCCACTCCTCCATAAACGAGGAAGGCTGAGTAGGTTGGGAATAAAGGGTGTAACCCAGGCCTGTCAAATGATTCCTATGATACTTGTTTCACTGAATGGGAAGGAAAAGGTGAACCTTCTAGTACTTGAAATGCAGCCAGTCAGTAGGTTTCCTTAGCCTCTGAGAAGGGCACACAGAGGAGCACCAAGGAGCTGAGGTGGTTCCAGAGCCTAACTTGTCTTTATTCTAAGTATAGCCTCCTGCCTCTATGACCTGTGACCTGTCACAGAGGGTCACATCATGAGTTGGCTCTCAGCTCACACCATAATGTTTCAAGTCACCAATGTGCTAGCAAGCCCTATGCAGATAAACCCCACGAAGTCACCCAACCCCAGCTGTCCACAGTGGCATTCACCTAATCCCAGAACATGGAAGATGGAGTTAGGGAGGGCAAGTGGTGGACCCAAGGTCATACCTCAAGGGACCGGAACAGGGCACCTTCTCTGGTCTTTGGTACATGCCTCTACTAAACTGTGTGACTGAGGGATGGCTCCGTACTGAGGATGGAAAGGATGAAGTACAGTGTTTTCCAGGAGGAACCGAGCCAAAACCACAGGTTTCATGTAGCAAAAGAACCCATCAGGAGTTCTCCAGTTCCTGATGCTGACTACCGAAAGGAAGTTCTGCAGCCACTGTCCGGAGAGAGAGATTGGCGGGGCTGTGTGTGTGTGTGTGGGGGGGTGCTCTGGGGTGTGTCCTCCAGGCCACAAGCTTTGAGTCCATCACTCCCTTCCTTTAGGTGCTTTAGATTGCACAAAGATAGAAATTGGGTTTCAAAGGCAAGACGACGATCCAACTAGCAAGCGCCTTAAAACCCCAGGTCTCTGCACCAGAGACACTGCTCTTATCTTGTGTTAGAAGTGCTAGCAGACACAGGCCAGAGGTGAGCAATTCAGCCCGTCTCATTTGCTGACTTGCAAAGACTATTTATATCCTGGTTAGGAAATTCATTGTTCACATTTGGAAGGATTCCCACACTGGGTGCCTAACAAGCGGTCCCTGTGGCAGGCTGGATAAGGCCAGAGATGGGGACGCATCTGAAGCTGAGTGACCTGGCAGACCCTCCAGAAACTGAAGAAAGCCAAACCCAGTGAAACATTGTCACTGGAACTCCAGCAACAGATGCAGGAGACACAACAGTTCCTCCTAGCGGGGGACCATTGGAATGTGGGTGGGAACACTCTCCATTCCCGGAGTTCCATGGGAAGATGGCCCACTGCTCACTCTCAAGGGTAGAGAGTGTTTCTGCAGTCTGCCTGGTGACCAGAGACATGTGTGGATAGTGGTAGAATAAAGACAGTTTTGTTGTTGTTTGAAAGACTTATTATTTGAAATTATGTGTGCGTGTGTGTTTGTATGTGGGTATATGTTCAAGAGCACAGGCACCCGAGGAGGCCAGAATAGGAAGTCGGATACTCTGGAGTTGGAGTTACAGGCAGTTAGCTGTGCGCCACCCAGCATAGATACTAGGAGTCAAACTCAGGTCCTCTGCAAACACTGCAGTATGCACTCTTAACACAGCCTCCCTTCCTGTTCCATAGAGACAGTCTATTAAAAGAACGCTCAGGCCAGGTGTGGTGGCAAACACCTTTAATCTCAGCACTCAGCAGAAAGATGGATCTCTGAGAGTTCGAAGCCACCACAGTGTACAGTTCTAGGTTGGTCAGGGTTACAAAGAGAGACCCAGTCTCAAAAAACAAACAAACAAAAACAAAACAAAACCCAACAACGACCAAATGGGAAACAGACAGAGCTTGCAGCCTGAGCACAGAACTGGAAAAAGCCTGGTTGTGGAGGTGTATCTTCCAGGGAAGCCCTCATGCTGCAACCAGAGGCAGGAAATCAGGGTAGCAGGTTTGTCAGGGCGCCATTCGGCCTCAGTCCGGCCAGTGAAAAGCAGGCGGTCCCAGTGGTCCTGAACAAGTCCCCGCTTTGCTCTCTACTCACGAGCACTGTAGCTCACACTCATCCCCACTACAAAGACTGCACACACAAACGTGCTCAATAAATATTAGCTGCCTCATCCTGGACACAGCAGAGAACGATTCACAGAACTCCACCCAGTGCTCCCCAAAATTCTCCGTTAAGAGTCCCCAGGGCTTGTCAGATGACCAGGCCTTGTCCCCTGGGAATTCTGGGTCAGTAGCTCTAGATTGGAACCTGGAGAACCTAGGATTTAGGGTTTTAACAATCCCCAAAGCGATCTTGCCATGAGGAAAGTTTGGGTGTTGTGGTAGTTGGAATGTAATTAGCCCCCACAATCTACAGGAAGTGGCACTATTAGGAGGTATGGACTAGTTGTAGTAGGTGTGGCCTTGTTGGAGGAAGTTTGTCTCTGTGAAGACAGGCTTTGAGGTCTCATATGCTCAAGTTACCACCTAGTAACTCAATCCACTTCCTGTTGCCTTCTGATTAAGACATAGCCAGCACCATGTCTGCCTGCACACCGCATGCTCCCTGCCACGATGATAATGGACTGAACCTCTGAACTTCCACCTCAAGCAAATGTTTTCCTTTGTAAGGGTTGCCGTGGTCATTGTGTCTCTTCACAGCAATAGAAAGCCTAGCTAAGACAAGCGTATTAAAGTGAACACCCGGAGGGACGTGGTGAGGAAGGTTTGATTAAGGGAAGTGAGAGAGAGGTTGAGGGACCTAACCAAAGTCACCCAAAGGCGAGTAGCAGAGCTGAGCTTTGAATCTGGGTCTACGTGGCTTTCATCCTGTAGAAAGTGTGTGATAGCAATTACCTACCTGCATGTCTCAAAGGCTGGGAGACGGTGGAGGAAGCAAGGGGAAACGGAGAATGAAAGCTGGTCTTTAACACGATGGGCAGACGAGATGGCTCAGTGTGTAAAGGCACTTGCTACCAAACCTGGAATCACCCAGCCCAGGGATGGCACCACCCACAATGGGCTGGGCCCTCTCACTCAATCACTCATAAAGAAAGTGCCCTACAGCCTGACCTTATGCAAGCTTTTCTCAGTTGAGGTTCCCGCCTTTCAGATAACTTTAGCTTGTGTCAAGTTGACAGTAAAATAGCCAGCTAGATCTGGGCAGTAGTGGGACACACCTTTAATCCTAGCACTCAATAGGTCAGCTGGGTCTACAGAGCTAGTT